ATTTCCACGCTGAAGCTGATTCAAAAGCAGACATGTTCCCTCGGATCCCCCCCCCCCATTTCCGGCCCCTAGGAGGCCATTACTCCACCCACATTGAGGTCATTCCTTTCACACTGTGTTCAAGCGGCTTCCATTCCCACCTCCCTCTCCCCTCTTCTCCTTCTCTCTCCAGTGGCCCCTGGACGCCTGGGGCTGATAAGGCAAGGGAGAAGCAGCAGGAGAGAGTGTGTGCAGCTGCTGTGCAACGAAGGAACTGGCCTGGGTGCACTGTGGGTGGAAGGAGAGAGAGCTGCTGGCTGCCTCGCTGGCTTGCACATACCCAGAAGCGGCTTCAGAATTGCTCACTCCATGATAAAGTTCCCTCAGTTTGTGTTTGGACATGTTTGTTTGTTTTTAACAGGTGTGTGCAGATGTCCTCTGTTGGATCTCCTGGGTTTGGCCAAGCAGAGATTCCCATTTCTTCTCCCCATCTCCTCTCACCCTTCCCCAGGAATAACAAGCAGCTCTGAGGTTGGGGGGGGGGGGGACGGAAGCAGAACAAGGTTGTTTGTTAAAGTTGTGCATCTACTTCTCTCCCCCCCCCCAACCTATGGAAGGATCAGACTCAAATTTCTTTGCCTCTTAACCCCTGCAAAGCCTTTCTTCTTTCCTCTCCCCCCCCCTCCCCCAATGCTAAAGCTTGGGTCTGAAAACCTGAGAGACTTTTTAAAAATCACCTGGAGGGTTGCTGAGATCTTGGGGGGGGGGGGGGGAGGTTCGTAGGGGGAGAGAAGGGCCATCACGGGTGCTGCCATTGCGAGGAGTTCCAGAGCCAGGGGGTACACTTGACAAGGAGCATGCAGAGATGTGAGCAGGCTAGAGAGAGTGAAGAGCACAGGCAGACAGCGCTTAAAAGAATGAAAAGGGGTTGGCAATCTGAACACTGAGAACTGAGTGCCATTGAAATCAGGAAGCGTGCGTGTGAGAGAGAGAAATCACACATGCAATTTGGGTTTTGTGTGTGTGTCTGTATGTGAGTAAAATGGGAAGGCAGGAAGGAGGTGCTGGCTGGAGGCTACTGCACAACTGCGGTAGGACAATCTGGTAAATTAAAAAAACCTTTGGACACTGCCCCCACAGGTCACCTGTATACCTGAATTAAGCAAAGAATGTGGGGTTTGCTTGCAGATGCAGAATGCATACACAGATAAACCGGAGGGGGGGGAATAGTGCAGAGGGGAAGGAACGATAATTCAAAATCAACCATTAAGGCTTGACTGCTGGGATTCTCCAGAGTGAGCTGCAGTGAGTGGTGTGTGCAGAAAAGGCCTTGTAGTGTCTTTTTCCATGGTTTTCTTCTAGTTTTCGCTCCCCAGCCATTTAACAGTTGTCCTATATTGATATATTTGGTTTTCCCAGGGAGTAGCTGCGTTCTGTTAATTTGTGTTTTTATATTTTTCAATGTACACTTGAAATTTGAAATACAAATAGCAGTTTCATTTATTGTTTTTAACTTTTCGTGGTCAAACTAGACGAAACACTGAAAGTTCTGTGTTCACAGCTACCAAGCATTTTTCTTTACATAGAGGTGTCACAAGGGGTTTGATTCACGTACTCCCCCCCCCGAGCTGTATTCTCAAACCCCAGAAGGCAAATATACCAGTCAGCCTGTACAGGGCTGGCTCTGTCATGTGACCACCTGAATCAGCAGGGGTTATTTGAATATCCATCCATCACCAGCCTCTCATCTCACTGTCCTGTCTCCACCACCACAATACCTATTGCAGCAGCCTCCACCTCCATCTACTTCCCAGACGTTCTCCTCCTCACACAAGTGTGTCCATCATTTCGCTTGCCCAATGGGCAACATGATGGCCATAAACTCATCTCACAAGGTGTTCAGGAAGTGCTACAGGGCATGTATAGTTTGCCACACTGTTTTTAAAGAGAGCTGGAGGAAAGAGGGCAAGGGGGAGTGGCCTCTGGTAGCACCTGGGCAGAGACTTGACTAGCATCTGGGCAGAGACTGGAGCGGTGGAGGCGGCAGGAAAGGAAGCAGGAGCGGTGGTGGAAGCAAATGGCCTCAAGTGGTAACATGCGCTGAACTGGCACTGGCTCCGTGCATTTCCCTTATCCCTCTCAGTGGGCCATAGCTCAAGTCCCTCCACTACCATCATGTCCTCTGTTATCCTAGTCTTTGTCAAAAACTGAAAAACCTACAATAACACACTGCTTCTCATAAAATGCGATCCTAAAAATCCTAAATCTATGCCCACTGATATCAACGGAAAGGTGTATCTCTACTTAGGACTGCAGTTAGACATTTCTGTGCCTGAAGTGGGAAAACTAAGGAGCCTTTTCCCCACAGCCTCAATCCGATTGTCTCTTCCTCCTTCAACACCTTGGTCATTCTCTGGCTATGGCAGGAAAATGCTTCCAAGACGTAGGACAAAAGAATACCATTTGACACCAGCCATTCTAGGAATATGCACGCAATGTGCATATGCAAGGGCTAGAGGAGAAGACTGGCCAGAAAGGGGATAGGTGAAGCATGGATAGAATGAGTCCAAAATATGCCATCTAAAAACCAGAGCCTGAATTTAGCACCCGAAGCTTCCTAATTACCTCAGGCTTTTAAAAATGCAAATTCTGCAATCAGAATAAATTAGATTAAAAAAAAAAAAATCTGAATACATGTATGCCCCTGACCCAAGTGATTTTCTTCTACTGGAGAGGAATAACAGACTATGAAAAGCCTTGGCATTATCTAGCAATAGTTAATGCAGGCAGGTGGTGACTGGCCAACACAGTTTAAGAGTTCAGAAGTCACCCAGAGGCAACCAAGACAGAAGATCTATGAACATCAGAGGCAAAGCACAGGAAATTCTTAACACCTCCCCCTCCACACACATACACACACACACACACACACACACAAGAAGTGGCTTGTGATCATGTGCTCGTAATGCCTGAGGGTCCCCAGGAAACTGGAGCACAGAAGTTTGCTCTGAGATGCTGATGTAATCAGATGCGCATGTTGAGGCGAAAGACAGCAGTGCTGACAGCTCCAATCTGGCATGTAATAATCAGCAGCAGCTCCCACACAGCGAGAGCCCATGGCTCTTAAAGCAGGTTCTCCCTGTCTCCCTCTTCCCCAGTAGAAAGACAAGGAAAGAAGGGTGGGACCTAACAGCAGGACCGTGACTGAGGCCTCTCAAATGTGACATTTCCTCTGTGGTTAAAAGTACTCACCACAAGATAAACAATACCTGTTCTCCAGGACACCAACATTATGCTTCTCAGCAGCATCACAGTGCTGCATTCTACAAAAAGATCAGTGGTTTTGTCAAGTTTTATTTTCTTGCACGCTAATCACCAGTGGCATGTACATCCATCCACTGATTGCCATTCCCCCCCTCTTTCCAGTGTTCCAAATAGTCATCAGGAACAGACATATCACACAAGGCCACTTCTAGTCTACAAGTGTCTTGAAGGACTGCTCATTCAGAAGTATCAATGGGAAATTAGTGGGGTACATTAGCAGTCTTAGTAATAAGTTCCAGTTTTGTCACTGAGGGCTGACGACTCCAGAAATAAGGTATTTTATTACCACACAGAAAATGTGACATCTGAATAGAGCCTTTGTTGTTGTTCAGTTGCACAGTCGAGTCCGACTCTTCGCGACCCCATGGACCAGCTCCCGCCAGGCCCTCCTGTCTTCCGCTGTCCTCTGAAGTTGGCTCAATTTCATGTTCGTTGCGTCGATGACACTGTCTAACCATCTCATCCTTTGCCGTCCCCGTCTTCTTTGACCTTCAATCTTTCCCAGCCTAAAAGCCCTTTAATGCCCTGACTGTCGCACAGCAACCACCTTGATGAAAGGAACTTATATAATTGAGCATTTGCCTCTTGCCTGCCCTTTCCTTCTTTCCTGCAAAGGGTTAACGCACCTTCTGCCAGTCTATAGAGCAAACACAGCTTTTGCTTGCTGTCACTGTCATTTTGTCACAGCAAAACCACCAAGCTCTCATCGTCACTCTCATATTAAGCCTTAAGTAAAAGCAAGTATCTCCAAATAATTATCCATTCTCCAGCTGGCATCACTCAGAAGGCTAAACAAATTCATGCTGTGCGCTAACGGCAGTCCTGTGAAGGCCCACTCTGCCTCCCATCACAGGCGCTTCTCATTGGTTAGGGGCCAGACAGGTAAGAACTGGCTTTATCAGCCTCCGATTGCCATTTAAGAGGGAAATAAACAAGGATTCCAAATATTTTTGCCACATGTTCCTTTGTATACCAGAGCCAATCCCTCCAAAAATGTACATCTAGGGTTCAAATAACTCTTTTCTGCATAGTGGTAAGAATGTCTGAAATGGCCACATTTGAGGGACTGTTTACAGAATTTCCTGCCAACCTAGCAGTTCGAAAGCAAGAAATTGCAAGTAAATAGGTACCACTTCAGTGGGAAGGTAACAGCGTTCCATGCGCTAGAGTCGGATTCGACTGGCTTTCGAGCAAGGGAACCTTTACCTTTACCTTACAGAATTAACCCTTACAACTTGCTTTTATACTAACATTTATTTAGCAAACCAAGAAGTTAATCTGAGTCTAAAGTAATTTAAAAGTAATATCAAGGCAAAATCTCTGGGATTATCAAGGGCTCTTCTTCCTGACATATAAACAAGACCAGTAAAGTAGGTGAAATTGTGTGGGTTTTACAATTCACAGCAAAAACAAGAGGGCTAGGCAGTGAGGCCAAAGCAACCTGTCGTAACATTCTTGTGTCAACCCTAATACATGTGAAAAGCTGCAGTCATGTAAATAAGGTCTAAAAATGTATGGAGAGAGATAATGAAGGCAGAGAACATGGGATTTGCATTCTGTGATGCCTCTTTAAGGTACATCATCATCTATGAGCATAGCCTCATACACATTGCAAATGTGTCCAACTAAAAAGAATATTTTAATCCAGGAAAACCTGAAGAGTTTCTTTACCGTTATAGACAATTGTCATTCGGGGTGTTGCGTCCAAGTCCATTGCAGAACGTCTGGAGGGGTATCCCACTGATGAGGCCACAAGGAGAACCACCAGATAAACGGGCACACGCCTTCTCATTCTTCCTGGACAGCCAAGGCTGCTGCCTGTTAGGCAACCCAGCTCTTTCATATAATCAAAGTGTTGGATTGTTGGAAATACTCCCACTGGTTTCTGTGAGGGTCACTACAGAGGTATTTCTGAAATATAAAAATAAGAATTTTTTTAAAGCTAAATGAATTCTAAGTGCAGCTAATCAAAACTAGTATCACTTTCCAAACTCATGATGCGTGACTAAAATAGGATTTTTCCATTAACAGAACTGTAAAAATAGTGGAGCTGCGGTGGCTCAAGTGGTTAAGACGCTGAACTGCAGGCTGTGGAAGGTCAGTAGTTCAGCAGTTCGAGACCCGGGTGCCGCATGATGGAGTGAGCTCCCATCTCTAGTTCCAGCTCCTGCCAACCTAGCAGTTTGAAAGCAAGAAATTGCAAGTAGATAAATAGGTACCACTTCGGTGGGAAGGTAACAGTGTTCCATGCGCCTTGGTGTTTAGTCATGCCGGCCACATGACCACGGAAACGTCTTCGGACAGCACTGGCTCTTCGACTTTGAAACGGAGATGAGCACCGCAACCCTAGAGTCAGATTCGACTGGCTTTCGAGCAAGGGAGACCTTTACCTTTAAAAATAGTGACATTATATTTAAACCCAACTATCCAAAATGACAGACACAAACCAGGAATCTGGATGCAACAAAATGAGCAGCTATACTGCTGTCCCCTTAGCCAAACCACTGTATGCACACTGATTTTGCCATCCTAGTTTCCTCAAAAATGGGAGGATGCAGAATACAAACTGGTTATCCTGCATGACACAACTTAACTTACCCCAGTGCTCTGGTAGCCATAGAGTTTTTGCCCTGAACGCTAGAGCGTCACAGTGCGACAGTCCTAGCGTGCTAACATCACTACCGGTGATATCACTGCACTTCATGCACACAGCAGAAGAGTCCCACCAGGGAGCCGGGAGCCCCCTGCCACAGCGAAGTTGAAATCTGGCAACCCTAATGTTTTTCCCTGATGCCAGTCCTGGCTTTTCCCTTCCTCATTCTGCAACACTTTTCTTATCCAGCACAGACCTCTCTCACGTTATTTACTGGCCTATATTTCAAGTGCGCTCTCTCTGGCTCATTTCTACCATTAATGTCCACCACCTAAGATGTAGCATGTGGGATGTCTTGGGCCTCTGCATAGCCATTCACAGCTCAATCTTCACCCAATGCTTTAAAAAGGCAAATATTGTTTTCCCTTCCCAACATGGAAAGCTGCCCTCATTAAATCTCAACACAACAAAGAAATTCATTAAAAATCTGGCTTCTCAGGGGTGGGTTGTGACCGTTGCAGAAATGGGAAGCTGCATCTGTACAACAGCAGGATTAGTATTACAGCTTTGGTTAGCAATTCTGTCTGCATTAGGGTTGTTGCCAGCTGCCAGGTGGTGGCTGGAGATCTTCTGGAACTACAGCTGGTCTCTAGATGACAGAGATCAGTTCCTACGGTTGCCAGGTCCTTTCTGGCCACCGACAGCAGGGGATAGGGGAAGGGTTGCCAGATCAGATTTGGGAACTGGGCCTGGGGAGGACAGGGACCTCAGTGGGGTACGATGCCCACAGAGTCCATCCTCCAAAGCACCCATTTTCTCCAGGGGAACTGATCTCTGTAGTCTGTAGGTAAACTGTAATTCCAGGAGATCCCCAGGTCCCAACTGGAGCCTGGCATCCTTATCAGTTCCCCTTGAGAAAATGGCTGAAGTTCCTCCTCTCCCCAAACACCACCCTTCCCAGGTTCCTCCCCAGGAATCTCCCAGCCCAGGGCCAGCAACCCAAGTCTGCATCATTAAATATCATGTGTGAAACATTTGGATGAAATCTTTCAGGGAAAACAACTTGGTAATTATGATTTATTCTCATCCTCCTGGATTTTTCAATGTAAGGTACTAAAACTCATAAACTCATAAATGAAACTCAGATGAGTGCTTAAATGAATGTTATGATGAAAGGATTTTTTTTTTTGCATTTTTATGCCTTGCGTAATCAGTGGTTTAATTAGAAAGCACATAATTGTTTGTTTCAGCTAAGATATACAGCAGTGTGGGGTGATCACCACGTCGAACTGGACTATAGTGCATCATTCCATCCCAGTTACTAGTACTACTTTAATACATAACTTTTTAAATATTTAGCATGTATGAATATCTCACATTCACAGCACTCCACAGACATTCATCCTTACAAAACTCCTGTAGGACAGGCAATATTATTGCCCCATATTGCAGAAGGGGGGGATGAGGCTGAGAGAATGCAGCTTCCTAAAACCTCTTAACTGAATTCATGACTGAGGCAAGATTTGAATGTGGGACTTCAGGCTGCATGGCTCAGTCTCTAGCTTTTGGTGACTGGCTGGGTAACCCAGGGACTAATTATGTGGGGGGTGGAAAGGGCTGAAAGATAGGATTGCGAGCCCCCAGGTCCGGGTGGGGGTTTCCCTGCTTTTGGGGGCTCCAGTCCACTGGTGACCAGCTGGCCAATGGGGGAAGCCCCACCCCCAAGCCCACCCCCAAGAGCAGCCACCTCCAGCCATCCCCTCCCTCCCCTCCTGCCAGATTTAAAGGGCTTCAGCTGATCGACAGGGAGCATGTGGAGGGCCCTTTAAATCTTTCAGGAGGGAGGAAGAGGGGCTGTCACCGGCCGCACAATCCACTTGCAAAAAGACCCTTTAAAGGGTCTTTTTGTGAGCGGGGTAGGGGCCACAGTGCATGGGGCTGATTCAGGTGTGTGTGCCACCGGCCTATTTGCAGGGTCTTTTTGTGAGTGGATATTGTGGCCGGTGACAGCCCCTTTCCCTCCCTTCTGAAAGCTTTAAAGGATCATCCAGCTGATCTGCAGGCCATGAGCTCCCCACCGATCAACCGAAGCCCTTTAAATCTGGCAGGAGGGAAGGGAGAGGGGTGGTTGTGGGTGCCCACCCTTGGGGGCAGATCTTGGGGGTACCCCTGCCCACCCCTGGAATGGCCCATAAATCCCCCCGCCAGAGTGACGAGGGGACCTGGCTGTTAAATATGGAACTTGACGCCGTCTCATAATCAACAGTGAATCAGCTTTATTGAAGTAAACAGGATCAGTAAGAGAACACCCACACAACAGTGGAGCAAAAGCTCCCTTTTAAACTATCCCGGGCTGATGTATCCACGCCCTAGAATAGTTAAGGACCAATGGCATTACAAAGATAACACTCAATCAGATTCGCTCCCTCCTGAACACTTCTCTGCCTTCTGATTGGTTACATTCCTACAATAGCCAATAGGATTGTTCCCTCTTTGTCCTAGCCTTCAGCTTTACATGAGATGTTATACAGATAAGACATAACACTGGCAACCCTACTGGAAGAGGAGATCCCAATGCAAAGCAGTGTAGCACAGTTGCTACTGCGTTGGTTTGGGATGAGAGATATCAAAGTTCAAATCTCCACTTAGCTCTTTTTAAAAATGTACATTTAGACTTTCCATACACTCCAGGCATTTAGAACAGGATTACTGCAAAATAAAACACCTTCAGATATGAACACTTAAAAATAGATTAAGAACTATATGTTTCCCCAAATCTCTAATCAGCACTGTCCGCATTCCTTTGAAATCTCACTCAAAGAGCCAAGTTTGAAACCAACAAGAAACAGCTCTTATGGATCTCAGTAGAGCCCCCAATCTCAGTAGAGGGCCTAAAGAGCAGGAACCCCAGCAGAGCAGACTCCTACTGAGAAAGTCCTCCCCCTGCAAAAGTCCGCTTACTGGATAGTTTTGGACTATTCAGGATCTCAGAGCCTAACCTCCCTCACGGGATTGTCAGGGGGCTATAAAGCACTATTCTGAGCTCCTCCAAAGAAGACCCTCCTGTCTGGGATGGGCAAACAAAACTTCAGCCCAAATTACGGAGTATTTTTTTAAAAAAATTATAGCAGATTGGATAAAAACTACTGCAAATAGAACAAAGCCCACAGAATGGGATTTTCCCCCTTCCCACTATAGCCCATTCTTCTCCCCAAAATTCTGCTCCTGGGAACCCTCAGGAAACATGTGGGAGCTGAAGTGGGGGTCAGCAGTGGGGGGGGGACACTGGCAAAAATCACCCCCTTCTTTCACCAGCAGAAGTGCTGATTTCCTGGCATAAGCAATTTTGCATTGACGGGAGAGTACTTTTGGATCAAACCCAATTTTCTGGAGGAAGTTTAAACAACTCCAAAAGAATTACAAAAAGTTACTGAGGCCCCGGTCACACAGGCTGGATAATCCGCAGGGGAACGGAGGCTTTTAACTGCGGAGAAAAAAGAAGCACGGTAGCACGATCTCACATTCCCCCGCGGCTCCGTCCTCCAGCCGTCAGCAGCCGATCAGATCAGCGAGGCAACACAGCAGGAAAACAACAGGACCACGTTTGTGCGCATGCGCCCGACGCGGATGGCTGCTGGATGTGACGGACTACCAGCGCATCTCCGATCAGATGCCCGCCCGTGCCGCGCATTTACTGAAATGCGAGAGATGGACTATAAGGAAGGCCGAGCGCCCAAGAATAGATTTTTTTGAACTATGGTGCTGGAGAAGACTCTTGAGAGTCCCTTGGACTGCCAGAAGATCAAATCAGTCAATCCTAAAAGTAATCAACCCTGACTGTTCCCTGGAAGGCCAGATAATGAAACTGAAGCTCAAATACTTTGGCCACCAAATGAGAAGGGAGCACTCACTGGAGAAGACCCTGATGCTGGGAAAGATTGAAGGTCAAAGAAGACGGGGACGGAAAAGGATGAGATGGTTAGGCAGTGTCATAGATGCAACGAACATGAAATTGAGCAAACGTCAGAGGACGGCGGAAGACACGAGGGCCTGGCGAGATCTTGTCCATGGGGTCGCGAAGAGTCGGACTCGACTGTGCAACTGAACAACAACAACAACAACAAAGTACTTCGAGGCAGGTAGTTTCTAACTCCGGGTTTTCCACAGGAAGCCACGGGTGGGCTTCACTTGCCAGATGTAGCAGTTGTGATCGCGCCCGAATACTCCGCCCACCACCCGTGGCTCTCCCGCAGTTACTTCCGCGTGTGAACGTGGCCTGAGTCTAGCACTTGCAGACGTCATTCCTGCAAATGGACAG